GTAGGTTAAGTGTGTTTTCAGCAAGGAGTCATCAGCGGTGGTGTGAAGACAAGGACGTTGCAGTCTGGTCCTGCTTCTCTGATGCAGGCTCTGGGCTATCTGGACTGATGTGCATTTATATGGACTTGTGTTCTTCATTTGTTTTCATCTGTGTTAACTCTGTCACTGTTCTGAGGTTTCTGTACACCCACACAAGCGATGCTACTGAGAGAAGCCAATTTGAGGCTGTAGGGAGGATGGCCCCAGTCTCTGATTATTCTGGATGCAAAAATCCATCCCTTTCACAGTGGATTATATTCCTTGGTCACCAGGAAAGGCACTTAGAAATAAGGACAGCTTCCTTTCTGGCTTCCCAGCAATCAGTACAATCTCTTACTGCTTTGACGGTTCCCATCATGTCTGGTCTAACATGTAATAGATCTCATGCCTTTAAAAAAAAAAAAAGCGGGGGTGAAATTGCTTGGTTTTAACAAAGGAAAAACAACAACAGAATTGCTATTTGAGCTTAATATTCTTCAGCTTCTAGAATTGCAGAATACGTTCACAGCAGTTTTTCAAAGAGGGCCCTTTGTACTCCATGTTTCTTCTCTGATGGCGGGTCTGAGGGCTGTCAGCGTTTGAGGTCGAAGGTGTGTTTTCGTCCTCTTCCCAGTGCTTTTTGTTTCTGTCCTTCTGTCTGTCACCTCAGGGAGTTCACATCTTCCTTTTGAGGAATTCAGAGACAGATGAGACAGGACAGTGATACCTCGTACTTCTAACAGGTCTTACTGCGGTGGAAATCCCAAATGGGTGTCACCTTTAGATGGGCTCATGACGATCTAAAATAAAAGTTAGTGAAAAAGGACAGCATGAATTTAGGGTGAGCAGCCTATCTGTCAGTGACTACAGAATCCCTGAGACTTGGAGGTCCCATTTGTCTCATGTTAGGATGAACAGGTACAGGTAATTTCTAGTTTATGCAAACTTTTTTTTTAAATTCTCCTTTGCCATTACAAAAAGACCCTGGCCCTTCCGTTTACCCATGTCCAAGGAAACTTAGATTTGACACAGCAAGTGGCTCATAGTACTTAGAGGGTCAGAGATACACTTCTGAACTTGAATTGAATCAAGACTAAAGCAGTGATTATTCACATGGCTGTGGTAAGTCTTCCCTACCAGCAAGGGATGCAATGTTAGTTGTTATTGTTGGTATTTATTCAGAAAGCACCCCTACAGAGTAGCCACCCTGGATCAGTCATTGTGTGAAGGGCTGCCAGAGTCACAGTGGTAACAAGTTAGATGTGAATGTTCTCCCTCTATCCAAGAGAGACAGGAGACAGCAGAAGATAAGACAAGATGATTCCAGGAAACAATGAAAAATAATTTAGAGGAGGGAAACATTTTCTCAAGACTTACATTTCCAATTACAAGAAAGATGTTCTTGGCAAAAATACTATTTTACGGAGGGGGGAAAAAGTACACTAACTTGATCATAGGCCTCTTTTATCTTAGAGTTGGTGATGAAAAATGTTCCAGAATTTATAGGTTACTTCCCCCCCAACAGAGAGTTGACCACCAATCATTTAGCATTCAGAACTCAGTGGGGAAGTGTCTGGGGTCAATGCATTATTATTTCGTGTCCTTCTTTATTCTTTGTGTTGTCTTCTGCGGTGGTCTGAATGTGATAACCTTCCTCCAATCATCCAGGCCGTGCCTCTCCCCTCAGCTCTAACAAGGAGAGAAATATGGTGCCCATCAGGGATCAGAGACACAAAGCTAGGATTAATATTAAAAGTATCATCCCAAACTTTAACTTAGTCCAGGGCATTAAAATATTACAGAAAATACTATTAATTAGCATTTCCTGCATGTGGCACATTATTCATGGAGAGGCATTAGGGTGATGGAAATGGTTTTTGCTTGCTTTGTTTTGGCCTCTGAGACAGCTGTGTGATCTCATACAGTGTACACAACGTGTGGAAATCACGAGACAAAGATGGGAAGAAGTCTTCTTTGTATCCTTGCTTCTTCTCTCATGCATCCCTTTGCTTATATAATAAGTTAAAAGATTCCTTTTTACTAAATGGGGTCGAAGCATATGTTTTTAACTGTAAAAATTATTCTTTTTTTAATTGGATATTTTATTTACATTTCAGCTGTGATCCCCTTTCCCCATTCCCCTACACACACCCAGGAACCTCCTGCTTCTATAAAGATGTGCCCCCACTCACCCACTCCCACCTCCCCACACTGGGGCATCCAGCCTTCACTGGACCAAGGACCTCCCTTCCCACCTGCCATCCTCCCCTACATATACAGCTGGAGCCATGGGACCTTCCCTATGTGCTCCCAGACTGGTGGTTTAGACCCTGGGAGCTCTGGTTGGTTGGTATTGTTGCTCTCCCCATGGGGCCTCAAATCCTTTCAGCTCAAAGCATATTTCTTAACTAAGGACTTTGAATTTTTAATTATCAGAGCCTCTGGCTTGTTTAAGAGTTAGTTTTTATTTGTTTGTTTTTTAAGATGTTTCCTGGAGGCAGTTTACTGCACTGCGGGCCTGGGGCCCATAGGCAAGCACTTGCTGTGTAGCTCTGAGCTATGCTTAGCCCTGGATGAGGCAATTCTTGGTTTTCTACATTTGTCCTTCAAGTTGTTTCCAGCTCAGAAAGTATCTAAGATAGTTGTCTGTTGTCCAGTAAATGTATGAGATTTTAAAGTATTTGTTCTAATATCACCAAGCCTGGGATTCAAAATATCACCCAGCCTTGCTTAGTACTTCATGCAATACAATCACTCTGGGTTATGAATTTATAGTCACAAGTAAGCTTCTTGTCTAGCCTGTGAGCATGTCACAAGAAAAACTCTAGTTTATTCTACCAAAATTCATTTGTAATCACTTACAAAAGGCCAGTTGTATGTCAGACTAGATATTGGTTTGACAGAGGCAAAACAGATTCAAGTTCACATCCTCTAGCAAAATAAGTGGGTAGCAAATGAGTCATTATTTAATTTGTAATTGAAGTAGGTTTCCTATGTTGAGGTTATTGATGATCAAGGAGGATAGATTAGTGTGGGTTAGTAGTGAGGTCTGAAGCAAGGAGCAGAGGCCACTCTTCGAAGTGTCAGTCTGCAAAGGGGAGAGAGTGAACACCATTGGGGAGGGAGGGAGGAATATGAGCTCTATTGTTTCTGTTTTCTTTGTGTAATCTACAAAGCTGGATTGTAGTTAAATTCTGGCTAGTTACTCAATGTAATAGTCCCAAGATGCTGAAGACCCAAACACTGAGTCCACGCAAAACTAGTGAGGAGATTACTTTGAAGAGAAGAGAATGCTCCCTGCATTGCAGTGGAAAGGGGGGAGGGAACCGGCCATGAGAATGCGCAGGCAGGAGAGAGGACAGTTCCTGTCCACTGATTCCTGCTTTCTCAGTTGGCAGCTTCCAGGATCAGCTGCCTAGAGCAGAGCCAGGAGGTGAGTGGAGGATTTTGTGCAGTCAGCACTATGCACGGTTGTCACTTACTCCACCTCCCAGAATGCAGTTATGGAAAACAATTGGGGGTAGCCTGATTGCGTTGACCTAAGTTTCCCCTTCCCATAGCTAGAGTGACAAATAGTCAGATTCAAAGGAGTTTGAGCCCCAGTTATTTGCAATAGGATAGCAAAGCATGACAAATAGATCCTTAGATGAGGGAGTGGGCTTCCGGTGTGAGGGTCCTGAGGCAAGGAAATAGATGACCTGAAAAACCCACTGATGGGGTTCAGATCAGCTGGGGCTCCCAAGCAAGCCAGAGAGATGGAGACAGGCTGCTACCATTAGCTGGACTGCTGTTTCAGTAAGTGTGGAGCAGAGCAGTCCCAGTGTGGTGTACTGTGTATGGCCACGGGAGAAGAGGTCATTAGTTCTAGTAGTGGGGTTGTACACATGGACAGGAAGTAGGTGGCCTCTGAGATTACCTGGCCCAGCTGTTGGAAACAGAATGAAGTGAAGGTCTGTGATTTGGAAGCCACAGTCTTCCCCAGTGACATAGTAACACACACCAATTCGTGAGAGTGAAATTGGTGATTGTGGCCAAGAAGATAGGAGTCAGGAGGTCTGGGAGAGGAGGAGGGGGTCAGGGGGAGGGGAAGACTCATGTCTGCCACATGGGTGCCCAGAGAAGAAGGCCTCCTGTACAGGGCTGTAGGAAGTATGTCTTCACACAGCAATCAGAAGGTACTGGAGCTAGAAGATGAGGAAATATTGATCCAGAGAATGGGAAGGCTTGCTGGGCCTGAGGTAGACCTGTGAGAGCCTGGAAAGGGAAGGAAAGCTTAGGGTTAAGGCACGTGTCTCCTAAGTTAGTAAGGGGGTATAGGATGAAATATTCCATGAGCTGTATGCGTGCTTGGGTGGGTGTGTGAGTGTTATGTCTCTGTGTGTGAATGTGTATCTGTGTCTGGGTCTCTGTGTATGTGTGTGTGTGTGTAAGTGTATGTGTGTGCACGTGTGTGTCTCTCTGTGTTGTGTCTGTGTGTGTGAGTGAGTGTGAATGTGTGTCTGTGTGTGTATGTCTGGGCTATGTGTGTCTGTGTGCACACGTTTGTGTGTAAATGTGTGTTTGTGTGTGTGTGTGCATGCACTCACGTGTGTGCGCGCGTGTGCACTAGGGAGAAGATGCTGGGCTCTGCATCCCCGCTTACTGGCTTGGTTATAGAGATACATGGAGCTCAATCATCAGCTTGTGGCTGTGTGGCCTTTACCATTACTTATCTCTGAAAAATAAGTGAGCTTCCTTATATCTCCTTTTAAAATTTTTTCAATGCCTATTAATTTTCTTCTCCATGAAGGAGCTGTGCTGTAGTGGCGCCTGTGACAGCCGTCGCTGGCGCTGCCACACCATTTTATAAATCATCAGTCCTCAGTGGTTTTGATGATCATTTGTTTTAGTTTGTAGTGTTTCGCTTAACATCATTTACATATCTCAGAATTTCCAATTCTTCAGTGACAGTTTTTCAAGCTATGTTCTTTTACTTCCTGAAGGGTCAAAGCATGTGAAAATCCTTCCAGGTCAACCTGCATGTCCTACTCCTGGGTGCCGAGGGATAGGCCATATCCGTGGTCCACGTTATGCAGGACACCACAGGTAAAGATATATATGTTTTTTTTTACTTAAATCATTTTAGAGGTGAATGAGGGCCTGTCATAACTGAATCTCAGAGCCTGCTGGTCCATCTCTGGTCTTTCTCCTCTGCTGAGATGCTGAGATGCTTCCTTAGCCAGCCCTTCTATCTGTTCTCTTCTAACTTTGGAGGGTTGTGGGCTGCAGAGACATTTCTAAGTCTGACTTGAAGCCCCTAAACCTCTGCTGTGTAGGGTTTCCCTAAAGTGCCCCCTCTCTGAAATCTTCCCCTGCCTGTATCTATCTCTGCTTGTTCTCACTCATCTCCATACCCGCTGAGTCTTTCTTGTAGAAAATCCCAGAAACACTTTGCTTTTTTAACCTGTTTTCTGTTTACTTTAAATTATTTTTTTCTCCTTTTTATTTATGTGCCAAATAGATGATCCTGTTAAGGAATGTGAAATGAAAGTGAAATTATTTTCCATCTCTTAGGTGTTCAAAAGAATGCAAAGTACATGGCACTTACAAAAGAAATATAATTGAATAAACGCAGGAGGCTTTCCCATTGTTTCTGTCCCTATTAGTTTGTAAAGTTATTCATAGATGAGCTATTCATATTAATGATCTAGTAAAAGAATGTAAATTAAAACTGAAAAGAACCGATATTAAATTTGCCTGACATTAAGTTGGCCTGTGTATATGCTTAAACATGTGTGTGTGTGTGTGTGTGGTGTGGTCTGATCTGTAAAATCCAATCTGGTGTTCACTAGCCCCAAGATTCTGCTTCATTTTAAATTCATTAAAACTAGATAATTTGAAAATATCCTCTCCCATCATAGCCTCATAGCCATGTTTCAAGTGCTGAGTAGTCATCTGTGGCTAAGACACGTAAGACAGTTCTGCCACCACAGAGTTCCATTTGACGTACTCAAGAGAGTCTCACTGTATTAGTCAGGGCTCTCTAGAGTCACAGAACTTATGGGTAGTCTCTACGTAGTAAGGGAATTTGTTATGGCGACTTACAGTCTGTAGTCCAACTCCCCAACAATGGTCAGCTGTGAATGGGAAGCCCAAGGACCCAGCAGTTGCTCAGTCCCACAAGGTTAGTAGATGCCAACAGATGTGCTGGCAAGTAAATGCAAGCAGGTAAAGAAGAGCAAATCTTCCTTCTTCCAGTGTCCTTATGTGGGTCTCCAGCAGAAGGTGTGGCCCAGATTAATAGTGTTTACCACCATGCCTGGATCTGGGGCTTGTTTTGTCCTATGCTGACCTTGAACTCAGAGATTCCCTTGCCTTAGTCTCCTGGGATTCAGAACCACTATGCCTCAAGATCTCCATGCCAAGATCCAGGTCAGAAACTTGTATCTCCCAGCCTCAAGATCTGGATCACAGGTGAGCCTTCCAATTCTAGATTGTAATTCATTCCCGATATAGTCAAGTTGACAACCGGGAATAGCCAATACACTCACAGAGTATTCTGTCTTCGTTGTGATTTTTGGAGTGACAGGCTTTTCTTGGTGCTTACTTTAGAACAATTTAAACCATTGTCTTTCAACATACCCAAGTCATAATGTTGCAGTCAGTCCTTTCCAAAGCTCTCTGACAATGTCTTGTTGTGGAGCTGAGGTGCTAGAACATTTTCGAAGTTCCGGGCCCCAGCAGTATCTCCCATGTTTTCCTCTTCTTGCAAGCTGCCTTGCCAGCATCACTGTGTAACTTCATTGTCTCACCCTTTCTGGCTGGATTCTGAAGTGGCCACTGTCCATGGGTAATTATTTCCCTGTTCGAGAACCTTCTCTGAACTCTTTACTGATCCAGTATGTCTGAAACAGAGCCTGTTTGCTGCTTTTAATTGTATTGTTCAATCATTGATATGAGAGTGTTTGAGGTGTTTTATCTACCAAATAGTCTTCCTGAATTTGGTTCCATGACCTAGAATATAAAGCAACAATGAGCAAAGCATAGAGAGCAAAACAAAACAAAATACCACACATGTACAACAGGGCAAAAATGGGACATCCTAGTGAATTTGGAGCCATGAGACATTACCCCACCTCCCAAACTCACAAATGCTTGGGGCTGCTCCAGAGACATGTTGCCATTCAGTTGGGTTACAGCTCTTGTATAGATGTGGGCCTGTTTATGACACAGCAGGGCTTGAATAAGTAAAGGCAAAGTGTACAGGAGTTTCCCAATACCAGGGATTCAGAAATGAAAACGGACAAGAATAAACAGCTGTAGTTAGCTTATTTTCTCATTTTAGAAAAGAAAAAAAGTTTAAGAATCAGACTTTTTACACTTACATGCTTACTAAAGATCTACAAGGCATGTAAGTAAATCCATAATATAAATAAAAATCCAAACTTACGTTTAAGCAGAAAGCCTGGAGTCTTACTTCCACTAACAACTTTTTATATTGTAAATGAGGCCAACCTGGCCAGGGGAGTTGTATAGCCTATAGGACGACAGTCACTGGAGAGTGGGGAGCTCGGGCAATGTGGGAAGCTCTAGCCATAGTGGACATCCATACCCTGGCTTTAATAATCAATTTGCTGCTTGTGTAGCCTGAAAAAACATTTAAACTGACTTGCAATTAACTGAAGAGGTATGCTGTGTTCTCTCCAGTGTCTGGAGTTTGCTTCAATGCTCTTTGTGTTATTGTGGCTTAAGCCTTACCCAACTTTAAAAGTTTAGAAGTACCATTCTTCACTTCCTGTGTGTGATGGTGTCTGTTCACACACACACACACACACACACACACACACATCCACTTGGTCCAGGCACAAGCCTGTTAGAAATGCTCCATCTCACACCCACAGGGATTATCATGAATGCTGTTCCTATAATCAAAAAGAAGGTAAAAAGCAGGTGAGGACTTTTTACCTCCCTTTTACTCACACCCAGATGAACTCCAGAGCCAGCCATAGCTTGAGAAGTTCCTGAGAAATTTAAAGAAAAAAAAACCTTATATAGTCTAAACAAAAGTACTTTTCCTTCTTGGCATAGATTTATTTTTTGGACCCCAAAGGCATCATTTTAAAATGTTTTCCCAAAGATTGTTAGGCAATTATTATAGTCAAAGAGAAAGGAAATAAAACCAAAAGCATATTCCCCAACCAGCTGCACTCAGGGAGGGCAGGCATCCACTTATCAGTTTATTTGTTGTGAGACATCATGACCCAGGTAACTTGTAAAGGAAAGTAGTTAATTTGGACTTACAGTTGCAGAAGATTAGCATCAATGATGGTGGAACATGTTGGTAGGAACAGCTAAGAGCTCACATTTGCATAACAGATGGCAGGCTGAGAGAGGAGAGGGAGAGAGGGAGAGAAGGAGAGAGGAAGGGAGAGAGAGAGAGAGGGAGAGGGAGAGGGAGGGGGAGAGGGAGAGGGAGGGGAGAGGAGAGAGGAGAGAATCAGACAGACAGAGACACAGAGACAGAGACAGGACACAGACAGACAGACAGACATTGGGAACAGCATTAATCTTTTAAATTTCAAAGCCCACCCCCAGTGACACACCTCCTCCAGGCCACACCTCCTAATCCTTTCCAAATAGTTCCACCTGCTGGGAACCAAGTATTCAGACACATGAACCCAAGAGGGCCATTCTCACTTAAACCACCATGGCCTGTATAAAACACCTCCTATCCCTGCTTCCAGAGACTAGGGAACTGAGAAGTCTCTCCGGTCTGCTCCTGCTAGGACAGTGGTGGTTTGCCTCTGTTTCTGTGAGAGTCTATCAAGCTGCAAGGGGTGCATAAAATTAGTGAGTATTGCTTTTACCTCACTGTGTCAGAAGTTCTAGTTCTCATACTGAAGGGATGGTATTTTGAAAGGAAGTAAAAGTCTTCTTAAAACAAGTTGACAGTGTCTCATTTTGTTCAGCTGATAAGAGTATTGACATACAGTCAGCACTGAAGAGTTACGAAAATGCTCTACCATGTTAACAGATCATGCGGGGAGACCCTACAGGCCCTGTCTACACAGATTTCAGTCAGCTTTATTTTCATTTTTGTTAAAATATTCAAGGGGTTAACAACAATATTCAAGGCTGTTTGAAGTTTATGTAGAATATGCATAAGCCATTATTTGGAAGAAACTGCATCAGCTCCTATCTGTGAGAAAATGGGACTTTTGGCACACAATTATCACACAATTTACATTTTATTTGAATTAATTTGCATACCGGATAGAATGAAGTATTTGTATCTGTTAACACAGAAATATTTAAAGATAGTCATCTTGGGGCTAAAAAATTAAAACTTAACTTTTGAGCCAAGATCCAGGATGAACTAGAAGTTGTGTTTTTATTAAAAAAAATAGAACAGTCTTGGACAACTGATCTACCACCCTGTCACAAATGGTACAAAAGTAATTTATGTGGAAATGGATAATTACATTCTTCACACAGAGAACCTGGCAGCTCTATGACATGGGGCCTTTGGCCCATTGCATGAGTGTGGGATGCAAGGCGTACATGACTAACATGTTGCACAAGCAAACACAGGGTGGCACCTTTTGCTCTGAAGTGTGGGGTTTCATATCCTTGAGGTGATTTTGAGTGTTCTACATGCACTATGGGAGTCCCCTATGTCCCCTGAGAGTCTCCTTCACTTCCTAGTGTGTCCTGTAGCCTCTACCCCACACCCTGACTGACAGAATACTTGCTTCTGTCTTCCTCAGTCTGCTGACCTTTCTTCTCTGCCATGTCTCTTTTCTCATGACTTTCCTGTATACAACATCTCTACACTTTCACCCTTTAATCAGTTTGGTAAGGAGAAAAATAAAAGATTATTATAAAGGGACATGAATACAGTCCCTTTCCCTCTTTGTCACATTTTTGTCCCCCTTCTAAACTGTTTTAACACTCATGATAGCTGACCTAATTGTTTATGATCATGTTTCTACCTCTTTGTGGCTATGTTAATTCTCCACAATAGACCTGTCCTCCTAGAGATAAAAAGGGAAGCAACTTCTAAAGTATCTTCACTGTTTAATTTGTCTCTGTAAACTGCAATAATT